TGTCTACTGTTATCATTTGTGGATGATCTTTGCTTCATCGCAAAGGATGCATCACAAGTCAAGGAATTTGCTGATAAATTAGGAAAGAAATTCGAATTAAAGAATTTGGGAGAAATAAAAAATTATCTCGGTGTAGAGATACAGAAAAATGAAAAAGGTGGTTATATTCTCAGTCAAAGGAGAAAAATTGAGCAGTTATAGGAAAAATACAATATGAAAGATAGCAATATTGCTCCCACACCCATGAGTATGGATTTTTATAATAGTTTAAGTGCGGACAAATGTGAAACTTGTGATCAAGAGATATATCACTCAGCAATAGGGAGTTTGTTATATCTATCACAATGGTCCAGACCAGACATAGCTTGCGCAGTAAGCATTTTGAGTCGTTTTACTGCTGCACCTACAAAGTTACATTGGATGGGTGTAAAAAAAATTCTCAGATATTTGAAGAGAACCATAAATTTGGGTCTTCAAATACAGATTACTGAGGAATTGAAATTAAAGTGTTATGTCGATAGTGACTATGCAAATGACATAAACACAAGGAAATCAAATTCTGGGATTATAATATTATTTGGAGGGACTCTGATTGGATGGAAGTCCAGAAAACAAACAACTGTTGCTATTTCAACAGCGGAAGCAGAGTTCATTGCTTTATCTGAATTATGTTCTGAGGTAACATGGTATGTACAGTTGTTACAGAATTTAAATATTAATGTAAAAGAATCTGTAAAGGTATTTGAAGACAATGCTGCCTATATAAAAATGGCAACTGGTGACGGTGAAGAACAGAAGTAAACATGTAGACATTAAGTATTGTAATGTCAGGAAAGCTGTAAAAGAAAAATTGATTAGTTTACATCATTGTTCTTCTGAGGATAATTTGGCAGACATGATGACTAAACCATTGGGTGGTGTTCACTATGGAAAATGTATTAAGTCAATAGGTCTGATGTCTCTTCTTTAGGGGAGGGTGCCTTCCCCACAGCCTTAAAGGAGGCGGTGGTGAGGCCCCTCCTCAAGAAGCCCTCCCTGGACCCAGATNGAAGGGCTAAATTTGAAGGGATGCAAAACATATTTGGACTGTGCAGTATGCAAAGCATCGAAGTCAAAGGCATTCCCAGTTAGTAAATATAGCACAAGACAAACAAAAAGAGCTCTAGAGCTGGTCCATGCAGATCTGGTGGGACCTATGCAAGCCAGTTTGGGAGGAGAAAAATATGAACTGGTAATTGTTGATGATTATAGCAGATATGGATTTTGTTACTTGCTTAGAGGTAAGACAGAGGTGCTACAACAATTCAAACAGTGGGTAAGTTTTGTAGAGAGAAGGTACAGACAACAAGTGTGTCAGTTGCAAACTGACAGAGGTACTGAATTTATGTCAACTAAATTGCAACAATGGTTGGGGCAGTTGGGGATAAGACACAGACGTACAAATCCTTACACAGCAGCAGAGAACGGGGTAGCTGAAAGAAGGATTGTTGTTTTGCAAACAATGAAAGATTCATTATTAGAGGATTCTGGTATGAGCAGGTCATATTGGGGAGAAGCCATATTGACTGCCAATTATATAATTAACAGGCTGTGGAGTTCCTCCATTAATAATACTCCATATGCCATTCTATATGGGAGAAAGCGATCACTGGCACATTTGAAAATTTTTGGAAGTACTGCATGGGTACATATTCCGAAGACAATCAGAAGAAAGGGACAGCAAAAGGCAAGAAAGCTCAGGTTTGTGGGCTATGAGCCAGGGTCAAAAGGATATTGCTTTAGCGATGAAAGTAAAAGAATTGTAATTTCAAGGTCTGCTAATTTTGCAGAACAAAATTGGGACAGAATTAATGCAAATTCTGGGTATGTCTCACTTAATGATGGTAATCTAACGACAATAACTCATCTAATGATGGAAAAATGATTATTGAAGATGTCAGTGTTCAGGGAGGAGAGGCTGAACAAGACATGAAGCCAGATAGATTTGAGACACAGGAGCAGTTAATACCACGTAGGTCAGAGTGATGTAACAAAGGAATTCCGCCTGACAGGTATTCTGCCAGCAAGGTAAAAGTTTGCAATGTGTGGTATGAGCCAAGCAGTTATAAAGAGGTGTTGGCATTACCAAAGGCTGAACAAGAAAGATGGAAGGAGGCCATGGATAAAGAGATGAAATCCATGGGAGACCATGAAGTATTTAAATCAGTGACTTTGCCACAGGGAACCAAAGCTGTAGGTTGTAAGTGGATATATAAGAAAAAGGTATTGCCAAATAATGATGTACAGTATTAGGCCAGGTTAGTGGCACAAGGTTTTTCACAATTAAAGAATGTGCACTACGATAAAGTATTTGCACCAACTGTGAAAAGTGAGAGTATAAGATTAGCACTGGCGTTGGCAGCGGCATATAAACATAAAATCTGGCACTTTAATATCATAACTGCATTCCTCAATGCTGAGTTAGAGGAAGAAATTTATATGAGCCAAGCACCAGGGTATGAAATTGCAAAACCTAACATGGTGTATAAATTAAACAAGGCTATTTATGGGCTGAAGCAGTCAGCCAGAAACTGGAATATCTGTTTAGATACTGCCTTAAAGGGTCTTGGATTTAAGAGTTGTAAGGCTGATAATTGTATATATACTGGACAGTTACAAGGAGGGAATTGTCTACTGTTATCATTTGTGGATGATCTTTGCTTCATCGCAAAGGATGCATCACAAGTCAAGGAATTTGCTGATAAATTAGGAAAGAAATTCGAATTAAAGAATTTGGGAGA